AAACTAAACATGGATCAACTTTCATTTTTCTTTTTTGGTTTCCGTATAATTTGTGGGTTTCGTCTCAACTAATTCAGATCAACCCGATTAACGCATTTTATGATGGATTGAGCTTCCTAACGAAAACTATTACATACATAAAGTTTCAAACTCAAAATCTTGTTGAAGTTGGAACAAACCGCAAACCACTTTGTATAACTCTTGTCGGTAACTTTCATTTTCTTTTCTAATAAAGCAAACAGTAATTCTTTTACAATTGAAATATATTTGTTTTCTTTTTTTTTTCTCAAAAACCAAACAACTATATAACAAACACCCAAATCACACTTCAAGTTAAAATTGTTCTTTCACCCAAACGATGAAAAAAGGGGTTAAAGCTGTTCATCACGCCATCTTCTCTAACAAAGTACTGAGTAAGATCGATTGAAGTTGAAATCGATATGATTTTATCTTCCTTGCAAAAGATCTGTGAAGCCCATGAAGTCAACTTGCTGGAGCAGACCAAAAGGGGAGAGAGAAAGCATTGGTAAAAGAGGAGAGTCAGGGGAGAGAATCATCAATAATAAAGGAGGAGGAGAATCGACGAGAGAGAAATCATATATGAGACAGGAGAATCAAGGAAAGAGGTCACCAGTGAGAGAGAAGATCGGGCAGAGTAGAGTTCATGGCGGGAGACGAAGTTGGGGAGAGAGAAGCTCACCGGTGAGGAGAAATCGGGAGCGAGAAAGGTGGAAAAATACAAGGTTAGGTTTAGGAAATTTAATCTAATCCCACCTTGTCCCATGGTAATGTTGGGATTAAATTTATTTCATAAGCATGGGATTGGATAAAAGACCGGCTATAATTCATCCCATCCTGAGTGCCCTCCAAACTTAGGATTAAGCTGGATGGGACACGTTTTTTATCCCATCCAGCGTTTCATCCGGTGCACCAAATGGGCTGTTAGTTTATTAGATTTGAATCAGGCTATGCCTCTCGCACTTCGCTTGATCTCGTGATTGAGGTTGATTTAGAATCTAAATCCATCAAGTTATTTCTAACAAAATCATTTTTAAACTATTTTCCCCTCCGTTGTGCTTCCGGTCCTGTTTGTGTGTTGGGTTGACCCATTCTAGTCAATCCATAACCCCTTGGACCTTTAGACAAAAACTGAATATTTAAATGGGCCTGGATCCTAAATAGACTCGAAAATAGACTGATTAAAAAGGGTATAAAAGGGTTGGGCCTAGCCCCATGAAGACTTTCCGTGTTTTAATTCGGGTTCAGCCCCTAGATTTTCCCCATTTTCTCACATAAGCCCTCAAAGGAAAAAGTGACATGCAAGCCTCTAAAACGTCCCTATTTTAGCAAATTAACCCTTATGTTAATGGTGACAGTCACGACCGTCGCATAATATTCCTTATTTACATTAATGCTTAGTTGTAAAAATAATTCCACTGAAGAAAACAAAAAAAAAAAAAAAAAAGAAAAGAAAAAGGAAAAAAGATGACCGTTTAACTCAAATGACAGCACATAATTGTTGTTGTTATTGCTTTTAACATGAGAGCTAATTGCTAAAATTGGGATGTTAAGGGGCTTAATTGTCACTTTATTTCTTGAGGGCTTATGTGAAAAAATAGGAATGCCTAGGGGCTTAGTACTAAGTTTTGCCTTTAAGTTGAGCTGAAGAAATAAAAAAAATAAGAAATAAATAGTATAATAATATTCATATCTGTTTTATCTACAATAATCAACTCCTTTAATTAAGTTTAATTAAGTTTAATTAACTGCTTTAATTAGTCTTAATTAAGGGATTAAAGTAGTCAAATTATCCTAATTTTGACATTTAATAAAAGTTATTAATTATTGGATTAATTTTAAATTAATGTAATTTTGATGATTTTAATTAAGCTTAGTCATCTATCTTACTCAATTTATCTAATCATGGTAAAAAATTGAAAGTCAACAATTTCTTATTTCAATTCTAATTTTTCCTACATCTTTCTATGATAAAGCAATTTAATCCAAAATTTTAATTCATTTTGAATATGGTCATTTTGTTTCAAATTTGTCCTTGTTAGTCCCTTAACTTTTAATTTGTTGCAATTCTGCTCTTGATTTCATCCAATTGGGTCTTAAAACTTTAAGATGTTGCAATTGTGTTCATTTGCTTTTAATTTTGCTTAATTAAGAAATAAAAATAAGTTAAATTAAAGCTCCAATTTAAAGTATGTAACAATATGTTATACGAAGGATGGTGAGATGTGTGTATATTCTTTTTCACTTCTAACTGTATCCCTGGACTTCGATCTCTATGTAGACTTGTTGTTAGGTGATTTATCCTACTTTACCATTCAAACATGTGGCAATTCTTGGTTTTCACACGTTTACATTTAATTTTCAATTTGTTTTGAATTTTAAGTGATCGTCAACAATAGGGCAACAATAGGCATACTTATTGTCACTATAATTGAAACTTGGGAGGTCATATAGTTAGTATACTTAAGGGATTAAGATTTCTATAAATCTAAGTTTATGGAAGTAGATGAATTTATAAGAAAATATTATTTTCACAAGAAAAATAAATTAATCAAGTTTTGGTAATTTAAATGGTAGAATGAATTCATTTAGTTTAATTAATTATTCCAATTTATTTAAATTTGGATTCATTTAAGATTAAGGGTAGAAAATCCAAAAGTAGGATCTTTGGCCTTTGTTTCATTGCATGCTTCCTCTATCACCATTTCTTGGTGGTAGGTTTGATCAATCCCTTTGACAAGTTTATGTTACAAAGAACAAGATTTTTATAGACAAAGTAATGGAAGTCATTAATCTTGAGGATGATTATGTGTGAGTTCATAACTACTACTTGATGGTTTTGCCTACATTCTTGAGAAAGAAGTTAATGGGATGAAGATTGGATTTTTTTTCTACATAATTTATTCCTATCATGTGATATATATATATATATATCAGAAAAGTGCATATCAATCTTAACTTCCAATAAAAATTGGAGTTCTATAATCTAATGACGTCGTTTCTATTGATCCCCAACCCTTATTATTTTTCACCCTTTTGCATCTCAAGCAATCATCTCCATCACCATCGCCATCACCTCTTTTTTTTTCTTAACGAATAGTTACTTCTTTGTAATTCACGTAAACAAAATTATGGTCAACATTCAGCAATGCATGATCCACACATTGTTGTCCATCAACAATAAAGCTCCTTAATTCTATGATATCACCCTTCACCTTTCTTGCATCAACTATCTCTCACTCCAACAAAGAGAGTAAATCATTGAAATTCATAAAGTCATTTGCTTTAATCTCTTTGTGACCTTCAATGGTGTGGATTGTGTTTGAAAAATTCAAGGGATGGTAGTAGGTGGTGGAAATGATGAATTACAACCGTAGAATAGGGTGAAAATAGTAGGTGCCGGAGATTAAGTGGACGGCGTAGGATTGTGTTTGAGAAATTCAAGGAATAGGAGGAGGTGATGGCAATGGAGATGACTGACTAAGATGTAGAAGGGGTGAAAAATAGTAGGGGGTCGGGGATTAAGAAAAACAATGTCGTTGGAGTTTAAGACTTCAAGTTTTATTGAGAGTTAACATTGATTTGCACTTTATCATGTGTATATATATATATATATATATGACACTTCTTATAAAAGAATACTTTTAAACTCTAATCTCATTGGGTTTCACGCTATTGATTATGCAAAACACTTCGTCTTATGTTGCATTAAAATACTTGACATATCAATTAAAGGGAAGCTTGTCTTGCCCCAAACCCATAAGTGCACAAGGCTCAAAATGATATTAATTTAGTATGCAAAGCTAAAGCTAATAATTAAAGTTCGATAATATCTAAAATATTATTAAAAGCCAAACAATATCAAAATAAATATTTCTATCAAATTATGCAATAATTACTAATTAGGTCCTCCAACTTTATAATATTAACAAATAAGTCCACAAACTAATTCAAGTCTCAACTAAGTCTAACATGAAAATGTCACACACCTTAATCCCCACATCTCTAGCATTGTTTAGCATTGTTACCTAAAATGGTGGGCAAGGGAAAATGTGAGATACAATTCCAGTAAGTAAATAAATGGTTTCCTTTTTTATTTTTAATTAAGCATGCCAATAAGTATAATTCAAGTGTCAAGTAAAAATATGTACAAGTATGGGTCATGAATAGATGTCTACTTTAGAAGTTATGACTAACGTTTATAAACCCTTAACTGGTAGGCATCAAGGTTACCAGTATATAATTCCACTAGCAAGATAACCATTATAACAAGAACGAACTGATTTCACAAGTAACATGTCAACATGTGCTAGTGTTTATAATATCATAACAATAAAAGCAAGAATCTGAAGTTGCAATTAAGGAGTTCAGCTAAAAGGTAGAAAGGAAATTCATGAACTTCTAAGTCCTCTTAAAATTGATTTCAGCATCTAGAACAAGGAATTGGAGAAAAGCAATTAACTATGGGCAATGGTAGTTGCTGTTATATGAAAACTCCCAATTTTAGAAAGAAACTAGGGTTGGATCGCACACTAAAATTTGCTATCCGTTGTTTTATAATTAAAATAAATATGTGTTTTACAGCGCTGGCCTATGAGTTTACTAAAACATTCATAACATACAAATTATTTCATTAAGGATGTTTTAATAAATTCATAGGCTGAAATGCACTTTTAATGTATAATTTGAATTGTAAAATATGTATCCCTAATTAAAAACCAATTAATAATAAATTAAATTAAGAAGGTAATAATTATCATTAATCCTTTATATTAACTCTCATTTTAATTTAATTTAATTATGATTTAAATAAATCATAAATTCTTTAATTAGCAATTAACACTTGTCCTTAATTATGTTTTACCCATTTAATTACATTTCTACAAAAAATATTCAGGTTATTACAAAGTTATTATTGTACGTATTATAGTCATACAATAAGCTTTAAGATTCTTTAAATTAGGATTATATAAGATAGTTTGAGTCTTTGTTGAATCAACTTGAGACTAAAGCTAGGTTGCTAAGTTATGAGATCAATTTATTGGTCAACCATCATTCTTGGGGTTTACAAAAAGAACATATTGAAAGGAATCGACTTAAAACTTTTGGCTAGGATCAATTGCTCTCACACCATCTTGATGAGAGAGGTAAATTTATTCTTATTCAAATTGCAAATGAGGTAAGAGGATGAGGAAAAGATGTGCAAAAGGTCTAATATGAAATTTATGCTATTGCAAAAAGCAATATTTTGGGGTAGAAGCAAGATATTAACTATGGTAAGGTCTATTAGTTGTGTTATACGGATATCACCAATTACACCATTACACTTATTTTATATTGCTA